TCCCCAGCTCCGTTCCCAGCTCCAGCCCCTCAGTGTCCTGCACTGGGAACCCAAAGCTGATGCCAGGATTGGGGGTTTGGCCCCAGCAGTGCCCAGTAAGGGGGATGGCACTGTCCTGGTCCTGGTGGCCATGCTGTGGCTGCCACAAGCCGGGTGCCTGTGGCCTCCTCGCCCACCTGGGCACTCCTGTGCCCTTTCCCAGGCATGGGCTCGCCAGGCTCTGCCTCCTGGTGCTCAAACCCCCACTGGGACCCCAGTGCTGTGACACCCAACAGGCCCAGGGCATTCCCGGGGGAATATTCCCTGGAATACCACAAGCCCTGAGCAGAAGAACATCACGAGGTCACTCCACAAACCCTCCAACGTGGTGCTGCTGTCCAGGCCTTCTCCACCCACAGAGCAAACAAGGAGCAGGGAACAACGGGGCCCTTGTTCCACCCGCCCCTCCCTCCAAACCCACTGTCCAACGGGTCCTTCCCACAGCCACGGGCTCATCCTGCTCCTGCTCCTGCCCTGGGGGCACAGGAGCAGCCTGGCCCCGTGCTGGGAGCAGTTCCTGCCATTGAGGTCGTGCCTTTGATGTGGGGCTTTGAGCCGGGGCTGGTTCCTGCAGGGCAGGCAGGATCCTCACGGATCCTTCTGCAGCAGTTTTGGGGCCAACACCTCGTTTTGCTCCACACACAGAAACCCTGTGGGGCGGTGACGCCCCTCACCTGGACACACTGACCCCTCAGTACAGCCCTTCCAGGTGATGTCCCACTGGGAGCCCCCCAGACTGGCATGGACAGCCCCCCATCCCAGCAGAGGTAACTGGTGAACTGGGTGGTGATGGTGCTGGGTAATGGTTGGACTGGATGATCTCAGAGAGCTTTGTCAACCTCGATTCCCCGATTCCACCCCCCTGACCACCTTCTAGGTGTCCCCTGGCACTGGCACCACCAGGGCTGGGACCTGGAAAACCTTTCCCTCTGCACGGACCTGGCGGGGTCCCCCTTGGGGAGCAGCACAGGGTCCATCCCTGTGGGGTTCCTGCCCCCTCCCTCTGCCCCACTCCTGCCCACGGCCTGAGAGGACAAAGCCAGCAGCGACCTCTGCTCCTCCAGCACCAGGACAGGTCACCTGCCCACACCTGAACAGGTCAGACCAGCTTGTTCCCTGCCCATCCCTCACCCCATCCCGCATTCCGGAGCCGGGATATGCCCGGGTGCAGGAAGGCACCAGGGGCTGAGCCCTGCCCTGCTCACCTGGGTGTCCTCTCCAGGAAATCTGGGGCATGACCTGGTTCTTTCTACGGAAACAACCCTTGGCAGGGAGGAGCAGCTTCCTCCCAGCCCGCCCCAGCTCCTGGATTTGGGAGCCGAGCGTGGGACGTGCAGCTGACGCTCACCTGAGACTGCGAGAACTTTCACCACCTGTAATAAACCACCTGTGTCCAACCCACAACGACGCGGGGCCGTTATTCCACCACCGGCTGCACCGTCCCGCTCTCCCACGCCTCGGGAGCTCGTCCCAGGGCTCCCGTGGCCGAACCCCCTCCCAGCGCTGGGGGGGCCGGACCCCCTTCCGAGCGCAGCTTCACCCACAGCCACGCGTGGACCTTGGCCGGGGCGGGGAGCCGGGAGAGCAGAGCCCTGTCCGGACACGGCGACATTCCACCCGGGAGAGCCTGCCCCGGCGAGACGCAGAGCCCATCTCACCAGCCCCTGAACTGCCCCGGGAGAGCAGAGCCCTGTCCGGACACGGCGACATTCCCCGAACTGTCCCTGGAGAGCAGAGCCCTGCCCGGACACGGCGACATTCCCCGAACTGCCCCGGGAGCACCGGCCGGACTCACCGTCCGCACCGGGACACGCCGGGAGGCTCCGGAGCTGGGAGCGGGCACCCCGAATGGGGGATGTGCAGGGACAAGGACACGTGTCCGGGAACCTCAGCCCGGGCAGGATGAGCTCCGTGGGGCTGCTGAGCCCGAGGACGCTCCATGGTTGCAATGCTGGTGATCCCAGAGACCCCAGGGTTCCACGGCTGCGACCCCGGGGATCCCAGAGATCCCAGGGTTCCACGGCTGCGATCCCGGGGCTCTATGACTGAGATCCCACGAGTCCCGGGGCTCCATGGGTAATCCCAGGGTTCCATGGCTGTGACCCCGGGGATCCCAGAGATCCCAGGGTTCCACGGCTGCGATCCCGCTGCTCCCGGGGCTCCGTGGCTGTGCTCCCATCGCACCCCAGACCCGCTGCAGGGTCCCTGCACCCCCCGCACCTCGGAGGGGCGAGGGAAGAGCCTGGGGGGCCCCAGGGCCCCCCCAAACCCCAAAGAGGAGCCCAGAGGACGAGACTCGGTGCCGCCGCCCCCGCGCTGCCCGCAGGGACCCCCGGGACACCCCAAGGTCATCGGGGGTCCCCGAGCCCCGCGATGGAGGGGGGCAGTGCCCGGGGGGCCGCGGGAGGCCCTGAGCGCTGGGGTGTGTGTGGGGCACAACAGCTCCAAGGCCCCCCTTGTAACCACCCCGGGGTCCCGCAGCCCACCCAGCAGAACCCCCCGGGCAGGACTCCCCTCCCCCAGAACACGCGGGACCCGCCCCCAAGGCGAGATCCCCCCGCTCCAAGGGGAACCGACCCCGCTCCAACGGGGTGGGACCACCCTCGGGAGTCCCCCCCACCATTGCCCCCATCGCTCACCGGCCCCGGCCGCCCCCGGCCCCGCCGCCTCCTCATCCCCGGCCCGGCCGGAGCCGCGTCCCGGCGCGCCGAGCGCGTCACGGGGCGGGACCGGGGAGGGACCGGGGGAGGGACCGGGAGGGAGCACCGGGAGAGGGACCGGGGATGGCACCTGGGCTGGGCCCCCGTGCGGGGGGGTCACCTTGGAGGTGACAGGACCCCGGTGCCGTCCCAGTATGGGGGGACAGGGGGGCCTTGACACCCCCGCGGTCCTGGGGTCTGGGGGCCCGCTGTGCCCCGCTGGGAGAGGGCTGAGCCCCCTGAGGCTCCAGGAGGGTCCCAGGACCCCAGTGCAGTCCCAGTACGGGGATCGGGGGTAGAACCCCCGTTCTGGGTTGAAGCCAGTGGGGGATGTTGAGCCCCGGGAGAGTCCCGGGACCCCGCGGTGGTGATGGGGGGGCACAGCAGCTGCAGCACCTCCTGCTCCCACTCCGAGCTTCTCCCAACAGCCGCTCCTTCCACCCCAAATCGTGGATCCCTTTGGAGCCCAAGAGCCCCTCTGGGACCCCCCTTGCCCCCTCCCCCCATCCCACCTCCAGCAGCGCTTTTGGTACCAAAATCCCTCTTTTTTTTCCTCCCAGTTCCCAGACTTTTGGCGCCCTCCGGTGCTGTTTCCCTTTGACTGCTCCCATCTCTCCCAGATGGGATTGCTCCCTCTCTCTCAGAAAACCCCGTGTTTTGGGGGAGAACGGCCTGACCGGGCTTTTCTTTCATTTGCTGTTTATTTTTCCAGAGGGAAACGCTGCTCCCGCCGGAGTTCTTCCTTCTCTGTGCATTCCTTTGGAAACCTGGAATAATTCCTTTTCAACCACTCCCTTCCCGAGGAACAACCCCATGGATTTAACTGGGAATGGGACACGGCTCCTGCCGGCTGGGCATTGCTAAGGGTGCTGCTAAGTGACCAAATCCTGGGAAATGAGAAATCCAGGAGATGGGAAACTCCCTGATTCACCCTCAGCCTTGACCCCACAGCGCGGGCATCAGAGGTGGGAATAACCCATCATTGCCCACCTGAAGCCGGGTGTGGCCGACCCCACAGGCAGCCCGGGGGTGGGAAACTGTCCGAATCCCCCAAATCCCGGTGTTCTGGGCTGGGGGCGGTGCCAGCCTCCGGGGGGGTCGGTACTCACCCAGCTCGCAGCCGGGGGTGGGTTTGGTGGGCATGATGGTGCTCCTGCCGCGCTCTTCGAGGCCCGAGGGTGTCCCACTCTCCCCTGGGGTGTCCCCTCCCTATTTAAGGGGTGTCCCATCCTTCCCTCCCTCTCCTCCACCCGGAGCAGAGTTCTCGAGTGAGCTCGGAGGCGCCTCAAAGGCTCCTCAAAGGCTCCCGAAATCTCCCGATCGTTAATTGACTCCCCATTAACCCACTTTGAAGTGGCCCCGTGGCCGGGGCTCAGGAGCCTCCGGCGGCTCCGCCGATCCACGAGGGCCGGACTCTGATCGGGAACCGCGCGGGCACCGCGGGTCCCTCCGGTACGTGCGGGGAGGATCGTCCCGCGGGATCGATCCGCCCTTATCGGCCCCGCCGGGGCCAGCGATAACCCCCTCCCCAGATAACCAACAGCTGAGTGAGCAGCGCCGGGGCACGGCGGGGTGGGGAGGGCGCGGGGGGTGCGTGACACGAGCCACGCGCCCCGGGGGGAGCACAGGGGGGCCGGGATCCGGCTGGAGGGAGGGAAGAGCATCCCAGAAATCTCTCAAGGATCGATCCCCAGGACATGGAGGGGCTGAAAGAGGCCGGAGAAGGGGCAACGCAGAACTTGGGTTTTGGGAATTCGCGGTCCCTTTGCGGGGGGATTTGGCCTCCCCCATGCCCGGACAGCGGGGGATGAGGGGGAATGGTGTGGGGCAGCCCACCACAGGCCCCTCAAAGGCCGGGAAGGGATTTAACGCCCGGTGAAGCAGGAGGAGGGTCCCGGTCCAGGCTCCAGGCAGAGGGAAGGGGGGGCGGTCCAGGCCAGGGGTCCCGCTGCCGGTACCGGGGGGCGGGATGGGGCTGGGGGTCCCAGGGCCGGTACCGGGGGGAAGGATCGAGAGGGGGATCGGGCCAGGGTCCCAGGGCCGGTACCGACGAGGGATCGGGCCGGGGTCCCGGGCCGGGTCAGGTTGGGCGCGGAGGTCCCAGGGCCGGTCCTGGGATGGGGGATCGGGCCGGGGGATCGGGCCGGGGTCCCGGGGCCCGGTCACCGGGTATGGGGAGGATCGATCCAGGCCCCGCCCCCGGAGCCCCGGCAGCCAATCAGCGGCCGCAGCGCCACGTGACCGCGGCCCGTGCCCGCCAAGATGGCGCTGTCCATGGCCGCCGCCCGAGGGGGGCTCTGGCGCCTCGGCCCCGCCGCCCTCGGCCCCCCCCGGGGCCGCACGGAGCTGCTGCCCGCCCTGGGGGCGCCCAGGTGAGCGGGGAGCGCCCTCCGGGGCAGCCACGGCCCTTGCGACACAACCTCCTCAGGGAGGGCCGCCTGCGCAGCAGCCTTGACCCCCCCGAACACCGACCACAGCCCCCCCAAACACCGACCGCGGGCCCCGACCCCTCCCCAAAACACCGACCGCGGGCTCCGACCCTTCCCAATGCCCACCGCAGCCCTGACCCTCCGCCAAATACAGCCTCCACCCCTTACTCTCCTGGTCCTCCCCCGTTACGCCCCTGGACTGGCCGTGCCCCCTCCCCACCCCCGCGCTGTGCCCAGCCCCCAATGCCCCCTCAGTGCCCCCTCAGTGTCCCCCGTTACCCCACAACCCCCCATTCCCGCGGTGCTGTCCCTGCCCCGGTGCCACCTGGATTCTCCCTCCCCGATCCCTGCTTGATTCCCTCGGCCCGGGGGTGGTCCCAGCGCCCCCTCACCTCTCCCGGGGGTGGTCCCAGCGCCCCCTCACCTCTCCGGGGGCACCAGGAGCCCGGAGCTGACCCGGGGGTGCTGCAGGTGCCGGGTGTGCAGGTCGCAGGTGTGTCCCCTCTCCTCCCGGGCCACCTCCCGGGCCCTCGTGGCCGCCGTGGTCGCCGTGGCCCGCAGGGTCAACGCCAGGTACGAGCGGTACCTGGAGAGGAGCTTCCCCCGGTTCTACCTCCTGTACAGCACCTTCACCTCAGGTGAGGCCCCAGGGGCAGCCCCAAAGTGTCCCAGGAGGTGGGACAGGTCCTGCTGCTCTGGGTGGAGCAGCTGCACCCCCTGGGAATCCGTGCTGTGTCCCACAGGGATCCAGGCGCTGTTCCTGGAGGTGAAGGAGATCAGCAGGATCAGGGCCAGGATGTCCCGGCAGCGCCTCAAGGTGCAGCAGCTCCCGTACCGGGACATGGAGCGGCTGCGCCAGGTGAGGCCCCTCCCTGCGGGAAAGGGGCTGGAATTCCTGGGGGATGCTCCTCGACACGGGCACCGGGAGCTGCAGCCCCCGCTGGGATTGGGAGCTGCGGGGAATCCCGGGGGTTTGGGGGGCGTGGGGCCGGATCCTGACTCGCTCTCCTCCGTCTGGAGGCAGTTCCGCAGGGACGCGCTCAAGGCCATTCCCATCGGGATCATCGCCATCCCCCCCTTCGCCAACTTCCTGGTCATCGTCCTCATGTGAGTACTGGGAGTACTGGGGTCCCTGAGCCCCGGATTCCAGGGGATTGGGGTTTTCAGAAGGAAGGATCTGGCTGTGCTCCCCCTGTCAGGACAAACACCTGGATCCTGAGGGGCTGATGGATTCGCCATCCCGGCCTCTGGGGCCATTGTCCACCCAAAGAAATCATGGAATCAATTGAAATAATTTAATAAAATCACTATCAGAGAGGCCCTCCTTGGAGTGTCCTCGGCAGAGGCACCTCCATGCACAAAATCCCTTGGAGTGTCCCTGTCCCCACCAGCTCTTCCAGAACCAGGGGTAAATCCCAGCTAAATCCTGGGATTTTGCAGCTCTGTTGCCCCCCCCGGGGCTCCCAGTCCTGATTAATGTCCTTGTCTGTGACCTCAGCTCATGGGGGACACGAGGGAAGGCTCTGTAGGGGCCGGGCTGGGTCTGTGGGATCAGTGGGATCAGGATGGATCTGTGGGATCAGTGGGATCAGGCTGGGTCTGTGGGGTCAGTGGGATCAGGCTGGGTCTGTGGGATCACTGGGATCAGGCTGAGGGGGGCAGGTCCTGCCCTGGGCTCCCCATGGAATACAACGGAATGCTCTGGGCTGGGGGCAGGATGGGAAATGAGCTGGTGGGGCTGGATGTGAGGGGCACAGACACCTGGCCTGTGTCAGCCATGGTGTGGGGACACGGCCAGTGGTGGCCTTGGCAGCGCCCAGGGCCTTCCTGGGCCCCTCCCACAGCCCAGAGTCCCCTGCCCCTCCCTCAAGCCCTCTCTCCTCTCTCCCCCCAGGTATCTCTTCCCTCGGCAGCTCCTGATCCGCTATTTCTGGACGCCGCAGCAGCAGCGGGAGTTCCTGGCGGTGGACGATTCCATCCGCAGGGCCTCGTACCCCGCCGTGCTGCAGGGCCTGGCGCGGGCCGCGCGCTCCCTGCCCGAGCCCCGGCCCCGGCAGCTGCTGCAGCAGCTCTGCTCCCAGGTAACCCCCTGGCTCACACCCTCACCTGGGGGTGTCACCTGGCACGGGTGTCACCTGGCACAGGTGTCACCCGCCCTCCTGGGGCTCCTGCAGGTGCAGGGAGGTGCCCGGCCCCACCTGGCCCAGCTCTTGGCCGTCAGGAGTTCCTTCTCGGGGTCTGCGCTGGTGCTGAGCGGGCTGCAGGTTGATCACGTGGTGAGTCCAGCTCAGTGCAGGTGCTGCCCCCAAACCAGTCCATGTGTGCATGAAAAGCTGGAGGGGTGGCCCTGAAATCCCCCCTGTCTGTCCTGGGCTCACCCCCATCCCGTGGGCAGCAGGGGAGGGGGGCTCAGGTGAGACTCCACCCGCAGTGCTGCCTCCAGCTACTAGCATCAGAGGGACATGGAGCTTCCATGAGTGAACCCAGAGCAGCATTTTGGGAAGGAATTCCTGCCTGTGAAGGTGGGGAGGCACTGGGTGGGATTCCAGGGAATGCCCCATCCCTGGAAGTGTTCAAGGCCAGGCTGGATGGGCCCCCTGGGCGGGTGGCAGTGCCGTGGGTGCCCCCCTGTTTTGGGAGGGGTTGGATGTCACCCAGGTGACCTCCCTTCATGTCCTGCAGAGAGCCCTGAGCCGGGTGCTGTTCCTGACCCCCCACTTACCGGCCGTTCTCCTGCGGCATCGCCTGCTCAGCCACGTCCTGGAGATCCGGCACCTGGACCGGGCCCTGCTGCGCTTGGGGCTGGGGCAGCTCTCTGAGGAGGAGCTGCGAGCGGTGAGGACCCTCAGCAGCCCTGTCCCGGGGCTGTGTCACCCCAGCTGGCACCCTGGGGCACAGGGGGGTCCCCCAGGCCCGCCCTGGGGGGGTGGGGGTTGCCCTGTCCTGGGAAGGTGTTTCCCCACACGGGGATCGCACCTCGTGCCGTGGCAGGGTCCTGGTGTGGTGCTGGTGCTCCGTGGGCCCACCCCGACCATCTGTGTGTCCCCAGGCCTGTTACCTGCGTGGGCTCAACTCCACCCACCTGGGCAGGGCCGAGTGCGGGGCGTGGCTGGAGCAGTGGCTGCAGCTCTCCTGTGAGCTCCAAGGTACTGCTGGGGGGGACACACGGGGGGCCCCCCGAGCTTCTCTGGGTACAGGGAATTCTGGGGTGAAGGGAGCGCTTTGTCCCACCTCTGGGGCTGCCAGGTGTGCCTGTCCCACAGAGCTCTGGTGGCAGATTCCATCCCCAGGGGAAAGGAAATGGGAATGGGAGGGAAATGGGGTGCCCCCATGCCCATCCCAGCACTCCCCTAGTGCCCATCCCAGCACTGCCCCGTGTCCCCTGTGTCCCGTTCTGTGCCCACTGCAGGGCCCCCAATTTACTCACTGCCCACCCCATGCCCATCCCAGTCCCAGCACTCCCAGTCTGCCCAGTGCTCCCCCGTGCCGGTCCCAGTGCCCCCGGGCTCTGACCCTGCTCCCGTGTTCCTGCAGCGTCCGAAGCGTCTCTCCTGGCCCACAGCATGGTCCTGCTGTCCCTCAACTACAGCTGGCCCTCCGAGTGATGGCCCCTCACCCCTCACCCGGCCTGGTGTCCCTGCCCTTGGGCACGAGTGCCCCGCCCGGGGATTCCCAGCCCGGGCTGCCGAAATCCCGAAATCCTGAAATCCCGGCGGAGCCCGCGCTGGGTCCTCACTCCCCTCGGAGCCCTCGGGAGCGGCCGGTGGGGCCGAGCACGACCAGGAGGCGTGGCCTCGTTGTGCCAGCAATTAACTGCGTCCCGCTAATTATGGGAGACCGTGAGTGGCTGCGCGGCCCGGGGACGGCCCCATGGGATCCGGGCACTTCGTGCCGGAGGCTTTTCCCTCGTTTCTTTTGTGCACTGAACAGTCTTAAATGTAAAACCCCCCGACCCCGAAGGGTTCGGAGACGCCCCCAAATCCCACCTCGGACCTTCCCAGGAGGATTCCGGGGTTTGTCTGTCCGGAGCAGGCGGAGGGAGGGGAGGGGAGGGAGGGAGGGAGGGGAGGGGAGGGAGGGGAGGGGAGGGGAGGAGGAGGGAGGGAGGGAGGGAGGAGGAGAGGAGGGGAGGGAGGAGGGAAGGGGAGGGGTCGGGGCTGGGAACGCCCCCGGGGGTTTGGGAAGAACCGAGTGGGGCGTCCCCGCGCTGCCTCCTCCGAATTCAGCCCGGTTGGAGCTGATTAGACCTTTCCCACTCTGCGTTTCCCACCGGGCAGTGGCGGCTCCCGGGGGTTAAACCCCCCCTCCACCCCGCCCTGCAGGAGGAATTCCCGAACCTCCGCGGTTTATTAAAAGCCCGAAGGAATCAGCGGCTCCCGTGTCTTTTGGGAGGGCCCTTGGTGGCGCTGTGTCCCCCTGGGAGGGGACACTGGGAACGGGGACAACCTGGAAAATGTCCCTTTTGAAGTCCCTTCTCCCTCTTTTTTGGGAATTGGTGACTGCTCCCAACAGGAATTCACTCTGAGGGGATTTAACCCCCTTAAAGCCTCAACTCACTGTCCAATTTAACAATTTATTTTCTTTTTCCACTTGTATATTCCCTTTAAATACAGCGTTATGTGGGGCAGGAAAGGCTGGGAAAAAAATCAGTAAAATTGCAGAGAGCTTTGGATTCACAACATTTGAGAAACTAAAAATGAGAAAGCCAGTGGGATCTGAGAGGGGGCTGGGGGGACATCCAGATTTCAGGGAGTAGGGGACTTAGAAACACAGGATCGAGCAGTGTGTTAGTGTGGATTAAATCCAATAAAAATTATATTAAAAGGCAAAGATCCCCTCGGGTTGCCCCAGGAACAGCGAAATCTGGGCGAAAGTAGAATAAATCCTGTTATTTATTGCCTTTTTGGGAAGCACCATCTGCCCCCACGCCAAGGGATCCATCGGGAGCTGTCACCACCTCTGGGACACGGGGCTGTGGGGAGCAGGGGGTGGAAACTACAGGAAAATAGGGATTTTGACCTTCAGCCTGTGTCACCTCCCAGGCTCTGTCACCCCTCAGCCCGTGCCACCTCAGTCAGTGTCACCTCTCATCCCCTGTCACCACATCCTGGGCCCCGCCAGCCCCGGGGGCGGGGGTGTCGCGTTCCGCCCCGTCCCCATCCTGTCCCCGGCGGTGCCACGAGCGGGGCCGCGCAGTCCCCAGGGTGCGGTCCCCCCGGTGCAGACCCCCGGGGTGTCCCCCCGGGGCGGGTGGCGATGCTGCCGGGGCGGCGCTGGCGCCGGGCCGGGCCGGCCGTGCCGCTGCGGGCGCTGTTCGGGTACCGGTACCGGGCGGAGGACGGGCGGGAGGTGGCGATGGCCGCGGGGGAGCGGCTGCTGCTGCTCCGCAGGGCCACCCCGGACTGGTGGCAGGTGCGGCGCCCCGGGGACCCCCCCTGGGCGCGACCCTTCTTCGTCCCCGCCGCCTACGTGGCCGAGGAGGAGCCGGGTGACGGCGGGACCTGCAGCCCGCGGATCCCCAGGCAGCCCCGGGGACGGGTGGGTGGGGTGGGGGAAGCGGGGCTGGGGGGCACCGGGCAGGGTGGAACTGGGCAGGGGTCACGGAGCTGATGGGGGAGCGCGGCTGGGGGCACTGGGAGGGTGGAACCGTGGGTTGGGCACACGGGGCTAGAGGGCACGGAGAGAGTGCAGCTGGGGCACAGGGAGAACGGGGTGGGGTCCTGGGCTGGGAGTCTGGGTGCCCAAGGCTGGGGGCACCGGGGCTGGGGGCACTGGGGACAGCAGGGACGCGGGGATGGGGGTACTGAGGGCACCGGGGTTGGGGAGGGGGGGTGTCTGTGCCCCCCACCTGCAGCATGGAGGATCATTTTGGGTGGGTGGGTGTCCTCCTCTCTGCCCCCCAGGCCTGGGGGGGGGGCAGTGCTGCTCGCTGAAGGACCCGCGCGCCCCCTCCACGGCCTCCCCCCGCGCCGTGGGCATCAGCACCGGCCAGCTGGCAGGGGGGGCCACCCCCACCCCCGCGCAGTGCCAGTCCCAGCAGGACACTGGGGTGAGTGGGGGCTGCGTGACGCCCAGGCCACTTTGTGCCCCCCAGACCTTTTCCTCTCAGAGTCCCCCCCTCCCCCAGCATTTGTGCCGGGGCTCCCTGTCCTTGCTTTACCCCCAGCCCGGCCCCTCCTTCCCTCCGCCCTGCACCCCGTGTGCCCACCCCCGTGACCCCCGCAACTCTCCAACCTCTCCCTCCCTCGCCCCCGCCGCTCCCACCGCGGTTTCCTGCTCGCCGTGGGGCAGCGGAGGAAGTTGGGGGCAGGGGGACACCGTGCCGGGCGGGGCAATGCGGGACAGGGGAATTGGGGGGGGCACAGCAGGGGCTGGGAGGCATTACCCGTGTGCCCCCTCCCCCAGTCCGGGTCCTGCCCCTCAACCCTTCCCCCCAAGGTGTCTCCCGGGACCCGCCACGATCTCCTGCAGCCCGGAGGAGCCGCAGCGGGAGGGGGTCAGGCCGCTCCCCCGTGCCGGCCGGGCCCCCTGCAGGTTTTGGGGTCCTGGGAGCGGCACCGGGACCCCGAGAGCGGCCGCTGCTTTTTCTACAGCCCCAAGAGTGGCACCAGCTCCTGGAAACCCCCGGCTGCATCGGGACCGGGTGGGCGCTGGCAGGGGGAGGGAAGGCACTGCCAGCCCCCCACCAGTGGGGTCTGCACCCCCAGCCCCTACGTGGCCCCCCACTGACCGCCCAGACCCCTCCAGCTCCCACTCCCCGGTCTCCTTTGGCCCCACCCTGTACCCCCATCGTACCCCCCAATGTCCCCTGTCCTGCCCTCACGCCTCCCCTTTGCCCCCACCCCTCGAGTCCTCGATTCTCCCAAATTACCCCCCAACATCTTCTCTCCCCCACCCGTGTGACCCCACTATTGCCCCTCCCGACCCCTCCCGGTCCCCCACTGACCCCCGAGTCCCCAATGCCCCCCGTTCCCTCCCGACCCCCAGTGCCCTCTCGCTGCCCCCCCTTGTCCCTGCACGGCCACGTTGGTGCCCAATTAGTGCCAGCGCTAATTGTGAGTGGGGGGACAGTCCTGGGGGGTCGGTCCCAGGGGTCCTGCGAGGCTGATGGTGTCCCTTGTGTCCCCCAGGGCCGCCCCCTCCTGCGGAGCCCCCCCCGGACCAGGGCGGGACGGAGCCCCAGGACTGTGAGGGTGAGCTGGGGACAGGGGGGCGCACCGGGGGTCGGGGCGAGGGTGGGCAATGGGGAGCGTTGGGGAGGGTGTGGGGGCTCCCTACACTGTCCCCCACCCCAGCAGGTGACCCACGGCGGGACCCTCGCCCACCACAGCTCTGAGGAGTGGGGGCCGACCCCAAGCTGTGAGTTACCCCAAACTGGGGGTGCTGGGGAGGGTGCTGAGGTGCTCGGGGGTGCTGGGGGGCTGAGGTGCTCGGGGGTTCTGGGGGCTGAGGTGTTTGGGGGTGCTGGGGGCTGAGGTGCTTGGGGGTGCTGGGGGGCTGAGATGCTTGGGGGTGCTGGGGGGCTGAGGTGCTCGGGGGTGCTGGGGGGCACGGACCGTGGGCCGGGGTCCTCCCAGACCGTGTCCCGTGGGAGGTGCCCAAGGCTGGGCAGCTCCACAGCACTGAGGGTGCCGAGAAGGGCAGGAGGCTCGGGGGAGGGGAGTTATGGGGGAGAAGGGGGTCTTCCAGGCGGGGGGCGTGTGGGGGCTCTTGTGCAGGGGCTGTGCCGGGCTGGGGTCTCCACAGGGTCCTGGCTGGGAACAGCCCTGTCTTCCTGGGGAGCCCCAGGGGCTGGGGCATGGGGGGCAGCAGGAAGAGGGGGCTGTGGGGAGGTTTGGGGAGCTGTGGAGGGATTGTGGGGAGCTGTGGAGGAATTTGGAGGGCTGTGGAGGGATTTGGGGAGCTGTGGAGGCACGGGGGGCAGAGCACCCCTGACAGACAGTGCCCCCCAGTGCCCAGGCAGCAGCCCCCGCCCCACAAGAGCAGCGTGGATTTATGGGGGGCTGCCCTGGCCTGAACCCCTGACCCCTCAGAGCAGGAAGAAGCTCCTCCAGGTGAGTGGGCCCGTGGGATGGGACCCCCACAGTGGGACCCTGGCTGGGACCCCTGGGCTGGGGGATGGGAGTGCCTGAACCCAGAGGTCGGGGGAGGGGGGGCTCTCCAGAACAGCCCAGGGACTCCCTGCACGTATGGAATGGGGTCCCCAAAATGGAAAGGGGTCCCTCGTGCCCTCCCCGGGGCCATGGGGGGTGTGTTGGGTTAGGGGCACCCCGGGAGCCCCCCAGTGAGGGGGAGTAAAACACCCCTGGAGTGTGGGGGTCCTGTGGGGTCACCCATCAGATGGTGATGGGGGGGTCCCCAGGGCTGCCCCCAGCCCCGCTGCCCCACTCTGTACCTGTTCTCCTCCCCAGGACCTGTGGGCTCACCTGGGGGGGGTCTCTGCTTTCGGGGGGAGCTCAGGGGGATGAGGCTCTGGGTGGGTGTGGGGTCTGAGTGGGGGAACAGAGCTCACAGGCCATCACTGTCACCCCCAGATGACCTCCCAGGTGCCCCCCAGGCCCAGGAGAAGCAGCGGGCCAGGAGCTGCCTCAGGCTCTTCCAGGCCCCAGAGCTGGGGGGAGAGGGGGGATCCCCCTGAACCCTCCCACCTTTGTGCCCCCCAAAACCTCCTTTGGTCCCCAAATGTGGAGGGGCTGATGCTCTGTGAGCCTTGGCTGCCTGTCCCCAGTGGGTCCCAGTGCCCCCCACCCTGCCCAGTGCCCCCCACCCTGAGTCACCTGCTCCTCTCAGGGGCCCCACCTGGTCCCTGTCCCCATCTGTGTCATTGTCCTGCCCAGACCTGCCCCCAGTCCCTGTGCACCCCCTGTCCCTCCAGCCCAGTGACTCTGACTGCTCCCAGTGGCCTCTGCCAGTCCCAGTTTCCTCCCCTGCCCTCACACTGTCCCCTCCTCCCCATTCCCTCCTGCACCCCCCCAGTCCCATTTGCCCCCTGCCAGTTCTCCCCATCCCAGTTTGCCCAGTTCTCCCC